ACGTCATGCCTCGTACCTGTACCTGGAGCCGGGCTTCCAGCACTGGGCAGCGCCTCGCTGCTGCTTCTGGGACAGTCACCCTCCCAGACCTTGGTTTCCTGCGCTTGGAAGACGAGAGCACTTTCCTAGTGTGCTTCAAAGGCTTGTGTCAATGAGATATGGTTGCTGAAAATGTTTTAAGTTCTATGGCTCATGCTATATTCTGCTCCTAACACGGAATGACAGTCTACCCGAAATGCCTTTGAAATGAGAGCCTCAAAGGTGAATTTTGCTTACACTTATCTGAAATACTTAATCATATTGTGGGAATTTTAAGACCTGAAGGAAAGCAAAGGACAACAGCAAGGAAACTCCCATTTCGACAAATATAGGAATATGTTTTGGTGGCATTGGTTTGTTTTGGTGGCATTTGTGAGTGTAAGAGGAGACACCCCAGGCTTCCCCCAAATTTAGAAGTCATGACTGTTTTTTCCCCAAATTAGTAGGTTCATTTCCGGGTAAATGCTTTTTTATTGTAATTTTAATATGAAAAATTTCTGGTGAATTTTACACAAATTGTAGAGGTAGAAAGTAAAATGCATTATTTTAGCTACAGGGGGCTTCATTTCGTACTTTAAATTCCATTTTCATGCCACTTAAAATTCAGAAATGCTCTGCAAAGTTATCACTTACTTTCTTACTCAGCATGGCACCAGCAAGGTCAATAAGCCTTCTATATTCCTTTTTCTCCTGTCCAAAAGTTCTTTTTCCCTAATGTCTGCTTAATGTTTTTCTACACTTTCTATTTTGGATATAACTATGATAAATAGCAAACCATAAACCTTAAAAACAAAAACTGATCATCTGAAAACCATCTACACTAAAAATTGGAGACTCACAATCTGTATTCTGGTAACAAAATTAAGTTAGCATGTTGCTGAGGTAAACAAATTAGTAACATGATCTAATGCTGTTTAGAGGCATTAGCAAAGAATTGAGACAGTATACAAAACAGCAAAAACAAACTGCATTAAATTGAAAAGGAAAAAAGCCACTTATTCAATATTAAGGATGCCATGAATAAACAAGATAGCTCTACATTACATAAACAAGATAGCTCTACATTACTTGCATTCACAATCTCTTTCCTCCCAATGGCAAAAAGGGTAATCAACAATTTTCATTATTAAAAATTCGTGGAATGTTTATATGGGTATTATTTTTCCAAGTTGACAGTTTTTGGAAGTGAAAATCCAAAAATTACAATTTTCACTGCTAAAACAGACCTATATTCATAGCTGACAAATGTATTTCCTAACTGATGCAGCTACGGTACATTTCTCTGAAAAGAGACAAAAATGTAGCATATGTTGCTTAAGAAAAATTGAGCATAGTCACAGGATATTACTCCATTCTGCTTCCAACAAGAAGGAAATTGTTTATGCAGCTGTGTCAGAAGAGTCTAAGACCCAGCTAGTGAGATTTTCTTAATGTAAGGCTTTAAGGGATGTGAAAGTCTCTTACAAGCAGGTCCTGCTGGCAACTTCTTATTGTACTTGCATTTTATGATCCGTTGTTTTAGGCTAATTAGAGACATTTTAAACTACGAGAAGCTGAAAGTCATGCTCTTCAAATTGTTTTTTCAAGGAGAAAATTAAGGACAGAACTGCTATGTATGCATAATGTATGCTAGTGTATGCATGCCCAAAACAAAGAACTTGTATAGCACAGTATTATCAATGAAAGTGTGCCATAATTAGCAGTTTAAAAGTATCTGAAAATAACCTTGTATTCAAATTAAATGTCCATATTGCATATAAGAGGTCAACAGTAGAGACAGGCCTAGAGTCTTGGGTTAGCACTACTCAATGGCCTGTTAACTACACTCATGGTAATGTGTAAAGAAAAATCTGCCAGCAAAATTTCACATTAGTATTTTACACAAATAATAAACTATAGACTACACAACTGATCTAGAAGATAAATTTAAACTAACCCCAGAACATTTGAGATATAAATCCATAATTAATTCCTGCAACTCTTGGTTCAAAAGCAAACAGGGTGTTAAACTGAACGTTGGCTAGGTGATAGCTTGATCGTGCTAAGACTTTAATCCCTGTGCCACCAGGGAGCGCTATAAGGAATTTCTTTTTGAAATAACTTAAGTGGAGTTATTTTCTTGATTTCTTTTGTTTCCTGTTTATGCTTTGTTATATGAAAAGGCTATGGATTTGGTGTGTTGATTTTGTAACTTTGTCATTTTTATTATTTCTAGCAATTTCTGATAAGACTTTAGAATTTTCTATATATAGTATCATATTGCCTGTGAATAATGATAGTTTCACTTTTTTTCCAACTTGGACTCCCTTTTATTTCCTGTTTTTCTAATAGCACTGGCCAATACCTCTAATATTAAGTGAGAGTGATGACAATGGGTATCGTTGCCCTGTTCTCAGTCTTTAGGGGAAAGCTCTCTTTTTTAGCTTTAGAATATTGCTATTGGTTTGTGATAAATGGCCTTTTCATGATTCCCATCTTGTTTAAGAGTTTTTAACATAATAGGGTGCTGAATCTTATCAAATGCTTTCTCTGCACCTATTGCTATTATATGATTATTTCTCCTTACTTCTGTTGCTAGGATGTATTACAGTAATTGATTTGTATATATTAACTATCTTAGCGTGCCTGGGGTAAGTCCCACTTGATCATGACATATAATCTTGTGATACACTGTTGAATTCAATTTATCAGTATTTGCTGCATCTATGTTCATTGGGGATTTTAGTTATCAGAGTTTATTTAAATTCCATAGCTGCTCTCTGTATTCAAATAGTAAAACACTTGATTTTACCGTGCACACAAGCATCAAGCTGAAATGTCTTCACATTTAATGCTTTGTTCCATTTTTCACCAAAATGTTTACATGTACTAGAGTTACCTGTAAAAGAAACTCATTCAACTTTATTTTACACTATGATTTACTTTTTTAGATCCCCTATAGTCACTGAAATAAGGTTTATTTACTTACAGTAATATGAAAGATGAGACTTTAATTTTAGTACATTTCCTGGTTCTGTCATCTGTGTTATTAACATTACATTTCTTTTTAGCTATGAGATATTGTATTCTACACAAAGCTAGCATATTATAAATTATGATAATATAGGGCTTCCTCTCACATTATAATATGCTGTATTTATTTGTACAAAATAATGGTTTATGTATCACACTTTAAAATCACTTTTACTATATGATGGAATACTTAATTTTTCTTAAAAAATTCATAAAATTACAATGTATTGTGTATATATACACACCTTATATCTTATACCCCAGAAAATATTATACTTCCAGGAGAACATTAAATTATTTATTCTTTCTTGGTATTGTAGTTTTGATAATACATTTCTTAACTTGTTTCTAATTTAAATAAGCTTTGTAAGCTTAAGGAATTTTAGTTTTATGTTTGCAACATTACAATAACATTCAGGAAGAATCAAATCTTGTGTGATATTAGATCTAGCTAGTGGTCTAGTTAGAAATATAAAGGTGTCAAAAAGCTACAGAAACAATTTTATAAGTGAAAGATAAAGGAAAGTTGTTCAAATTAGTAAAAGATTTGATTTGGTATACAGTACTTATGCTGTGAAATATTAGTACCTTGATAAAAACATGAAAACTGAAGAGTAGTGGCTTTTGTAACTGAAGATGCCACTGTGGAGTTAATGGAATCAGAATTTTAGAGAGCATCTTCAGTATCCTCATTTTACAGAAGAGGTAAGAGAAATGAAAACTCGGTATTCTGGACCTTTAGATTTCCTTTTGCCACTGTTACTTTTGTGTCTGGAAAATACAATTTGCATAAGACATAAAAATACTAAAAACAGTACCTGAAGTCCTGAAGTGTGGCTGAATGTCTCATCTCCTTTTTGGTCAAAATGCAGAAATGGTACCCCAAAGACAGAAGTCACAAAAATGCATGCCCAGAAAAGGTGGTTTGCATCACTTTAATTATAAACTAATTTGGAGAACAGTATTTTTACTTTTATCAATTTTCTAAAGCTGGACTTTGCAGAAAACATTTCTGCAGAAAACAAGATACAACATTTTTACAAGGTATACAATGTTCTATAATTTGTTTTTTAGCTGGTGAAAATAATTTAATGGGATATAAAATCTTTGCCCCAGTAAATATGAAAATCAGTTGCATTCTTTATGTAACTGTTTTTTTTACAGATGCTTTGGCTTATAAGACCTTTTTAAAACACTTAAGTCATAAAAAATTAATACTATAAAAGCTAGCTACTATTTTTCACTCTCTCTCCTTCTACTACAAATCAATTCTTTGCTGAAGATCAGTTCATCCTAGCTCAAAATACATTGCTATATACCATATCTATTATCTTCATGATGTCAATAATGAATCAGTATAAATATCCTAAGTGTTTTAAATTAATTCCATAAGTTATTTAAAAGCCATTTTCCTAAGCAAATTGTTCAGCAATCCAAAGTAATCAATAACCAAATCAACCTTCTCATGGTCTCATTATTTTTAATATATAGTAGAGATAGCCCTAATATTTTCAATTATTTTCCCATTAGGAGGGCTACACATTAGCTATTATCACCAAAGTATATCAATTTTTTTCAAGCATATTTTTGATATGTAAGAAACATAACAAAATTGGTTTTTCAAAAAAAATCAAATATTGCCTTTTAGGCTTCAAAAATATGAGGTAAAAAATGCAATTTATATACAAAAAATGTTGTGAACTGCAACCAAATTCACAATAACTATTTAAATGGCAGAGCTAAGATTTTCTATGGCAAAATTGTGTAATTATTCTAAGTTAAACAAAAATTAAGTAACTCTACTATATTTCCTATTAAAGGTATACCTCAATGAAAAGTTTTAAATGACATATACCCACTGGCTTTTCTGTCTGCCTTTTGATTGATACATAGATAATTTTGAAACATAAAGAAAGTTAACAACCCCTTAACTTATAATGACTTTGAAGTTTATTTTACAGCACTTTTATTGAGACATCATGTAACTACTGACCAGGACCATTTACAAGTGTAAAGCTTGGCCTGTGAGATTAAAAACTTTTAAGTACTAAAATTTTACATCATGATTTTTTTTTTCTTAAGTGTTATGATGGTGAAAACTAACAAAAGAAAATCTAAAGCAAAAATATAATGATTTCCACAAAACCATATATTCTTCCCTACCTACATCAAATGGGAATGAGTGAATAAGGAAAGAAGGAAAAAGAGAAGAGGGGAAGATAAAAAAAAAGAATAAGGGCAAGATAGGCAAGAAAAATATTTCCCTCCCCTCCCCCCATTTTCAAAAAGGAGGGAAACTCTGAGGTCTCAGCAAAGTGTGATCAACTAAGTCAGTTTATATTAAGGCATCTTCTTTTACATATTATTGAATCCCATCATGCCTTTCATATTGCCAGCGGCACCCTGTTGAAACTGCCTCATCATTGACTGAAGTCCTGCCATACCACCTAGAATAAAAGAGTAAAACCAGATAATTATTAAGCAGATTTGAAATATTAGTAGAATAAAACCAGGTAATTACTAAGCAGATTTGAAAAATTAGTTTTGCCTAACTTCGAAGAAATATACTGGGTCTGACTGCAATTTGGTCATTAGCTTTAAGGAACATACCAATTAAAAAATTATATTATCACTAGTATCCTCATCTATAGAAGAGAATAAATTACCTTGTCAAGTTGTAAGGATAAATAATACATGAAAAGATCTTAGAATAGTTACCTTTACACAGCAGACTTAATACATCTAAATAAAATATATTTTTCTGGGAAGTCCAAAGAGTCTTGCTGTAAGCAGTAATTAATCATGTGGTGGGGAGGAAGGAGGGAGAGTAAAGGGAGTAATTTCATAGGACTCAGAGGAAGAAAAAAATTACCACTTAAATATCTACTATATGCCCAAAACTGTAGTAAATGCCTTCACAAGTATTAATTCATTTAATTATCACAATTTCTTGATGAGCTATTATCTGTGATATTATAGAAAGGAAAAATGAAATTGAGAAATATTAAAGAACTTTTCATAGGTTACACAGTAAAAGTACAACTGGGTTTCAAAATCCTCATCTAATTTCAAAGTTTAACCCTAAAATATTAGGGTTCCAAATTAGCGCAAAAGGTTACTAGAATAGCATTAACAAAAAATGATGAAGTATCTTGCTCAAAATCACACATGGCAGCAAAGGAGTGAATAAAATCTCAGCTTATATATAGCTGTTTTTATATATTGTGAACACAAATGGCCATTTGCTTTAATGTACCTATCTTTTGACCACATTTTCATAATGTCACAGCAATGACTTATTAAAACTCAACCCTTTTAAATTACACTGTATATTAGCAAGTGGCAAAAACTTTGCATTTACCCATGTGATGAAGAACTCTTGGATCCATCATTTTGGCCATCTGTTGATTCAATTTTGCCATCTGTGACTGGCTCACATTCTTAGACATATCACCACCTGAAAAAAAGTTTTGGCTTAATATACAAAGCAACAGGATATCACAGAACAGTATGTTATTGAATTGAATCAACTGAAAAAAAAAATAAGATTACATTAATTGACTGAAGTGAATAAAAAGAAAAAACTCACCTAAATTTTATTACTCTAAAAATTATTTTAATCTATCTCAATTATATACATATTTTTGAGAAAGAACAAGTGATATTAAACTTAAGGGACTTTCTTAAGGTCTATACTTTATTTATACCTGTAAGTTAGTCAATATAAGCAAAACTACTTCCATCCAGATTATTAACTATAAGTTTTAACAACTGTTAACAGTGGCATGGGAGAATGCTAAAAAGTTGTTTATTCACATATATTTGTGAATTCAAAACTATGCATAAAAAAGATGTCTTAAAACATGATACAACCTGAAAAAGGTTTTCATGATTGAAAAATCTGTGTAAAGTAAATTTGTCACCTGTTGGTGATTATTGTAATAGTATTTTTTAAAAGATTTATTTATGGGGCCCTCCCTGGTGGTGCAGCGGGTTAAAGCACAGCACTGAGAAGCTAAAGCCACTTCAGCAGGAGTTTGATCCCGCCTGAGAGGTGACCCACATGGCACGGCAGACTTCTCCTGACCTGCCTACTGCTCTCCTCAGCAGCGTACTCCATCGATCAGCCTGTTCTGCTCCCCAATCTGTCACTGGTGAAGCCTCTCCCCACCCCTGCACCTCTGGCCCTTACCCCAGTTCTGTATGCATACATAAATAAATCTTTAAAAAAAAAAGATTTATATATGCATACTGAACAGGAGTAAGGGCCAGAGGTGCAGGGGTGGGGAGAGGCTTCACCAGCAACAGAGTGGGGAGCAGAAAAGGCAGACTGATGAAGTATACTGCTAAGGGGAGCAGAGGGCAGGTCAGGAGAGGTCTTCCTTGCCATGTGGGTCACCTCCCTCGCCGAGGATCAAATTTGTGCTGCAGTGGCTGCAATAGCTTCATAGTGCTGTGCTTTAACCTGCTGCACCACCAGGGAGGGCACTCGGAGTGTATTTTTAAGAACTTAATGCATCTAAAAAAACATCAAGAGTTTGTTCTGACAAGAATTTGTGCCATATACACTGCCCATTCCATCTTGGCTGTGCCTTTACTGAGTAATCAATGCTTAGACAGGACCTAATGGATAAATCTGCAGTAGTCCTTTCAGAAAGCTAGTCATGGCATTCTGTTGTCTTTGGAGCTTGTGTAATTAACATTTTAAAAAACAATGAACTCATTTTGATAGTTGTTTACAATATTGGCAGAAAAGGTAAATGAGGACTGGATAATTGGTGAACTCGTTGGGAAAAAACTTCTTTTTACCTTATACAATATAGTGCAAAATAAATTCCAGATGGAATGAAAAACAAATTTATAAAACAAAAATGAGAAGAAAAAAAAATACATGTGCCTATTATCAACACAGAGAAGGTTTTTGTAAGCATAAACGACACAAAAGAAAATGACTGATGGGGTCAACTACATTAAAAATAAAAACTTCTGGTCATTAAAAAATATAATAAAAATAAGAGACCAATGAAAAACTGGGAAAAGGGCCCTTCTTGGTGATGCACAGCATTACAAAGCTAGCCGCTCCTGTTTCAGCATGAGTTTGATCCCCAGCCAGGGAGGTGACGCACTGGGCAAGGCAGACCTCTCCTATCTCTCCTGCTGCTCCTCTCAGCAATGTATTTCATCAATTTGCCTGTTTTGTTTCCCACTTTGTCTCTGGTAAATCCTCTCACCGCCCCTGCACCTCTGTCCTGTACCAGAGTTCAGTATGCATAAACAAATGAAATATTTTTTTAAAAAATTTTTAATTAAAAGGAAAGACTGGAGAAAAATATTTGCCAACATAAGCCAAGAATTTTAAAGTTATTAAAAAGCAATGAAGGAGGGCTCCCCCTGGTGGCACAGCGGGTTAAAGCACAGAACTAAGCAGCAGGTTAAAGCACAGAACTAAGAAGCTAAAGCCACTTCAGCATGAGTTCAAACCCCACCCTAGAGGTGATCCACATGGAATGGCAGGCCTCTCCTAACCCACCCACTGCTCCCCTCAGCAGTGTACTTCATCAGTCGGCCTGTTCTGTTCCCCACTCTGTCTTTGGTAAATCCTCTCACTGCCCCTGCACCTCTGGCCTGTACCCCAGTTCTGTATGCATAAATAAATAAATCTTTAAAACAAAAAAGCAATGAAGTAAAAAAATTAATAAATGAATAAGGAACATTAGGGGTGATTCACTAAAAAATTCAAACCAGCAATTATATGAAGAAATGTTAAAATTAGTATTCTATAAAACACAATGAAAAATACAACTGACTAAGAAATTGCAATTATTAAATGATGAAATTTATCACTTACCGTTTATGATTGAAACAGACAAAATCACTGGCCTCATAGAAGACTACAGAAAAGTAATACTAGGACTGATACTGATCCTGATAGATATATAAGTGGATTAATCAGCCTGAATATCCAACAAAGTGGTATTATATTGAATAAATTATATTGAATTAATTTATCTTTAACTAAGGAAAAATTGTGGTACCTCTATCAGATATTACCACCAAATTGCAACCACCACCAACTTACCCATATTCTACCACTACAGACCTCTATGCCTCCTTTCCTCTTTATTCCTGTCCTAACCCCAATCCCAACCTCTTCCTACTTTGGTGCATAAATTCTATAGTCAGCTGTCAGGGATTAGTTTTTCAGCTTGTCTTTATTAATTGGGTAACTTTATATTGTACATATTAGTAATATATTAGTATTTATCTTTCTCCTTCTGACTAATCTCACTTAGCATTATCCTTCAAGCTCCATCTATGTTGCCACAAATGGCATGAGCTTATCTTTTTGATTGCTGTACAGTATTCCATTTTGTAAATATACCACATTTTCTTGATCCACTCATCTGTTCTGGAGAACTTAAAGACTATTTACATATAAATAAGTATATTTTAAAGAATATTTGACAATAAGGAAAATTAGTCATGATGTATCAGAACAACACTAGTAGTTATCATTATTTCATAGGATGCATGGGATTCATAATGGGAAATTAAAGTACTAGGAATTTAGATTTGTTTTTATATTTTCACATATTCTCTAAATTTTCTTTAATATGTATGCCATTTTTGTAAAAATAAAATCGTAATGTTTTTAAATTTTAGTATTTATTACCTTAAATCTGAAAACATAAATCATATCACATTATAAATTCTGGAAGCACCTGAATATAACATTAAATTAAACAATTTATTTTACAATACTAGAAGTACAATCTGGCTTTAAATTTTAGTTTCTCAACTTCTTTCTTTCTAGGTACTAATGGTTAGCTTGTTTTTCTTACCTTTGAAAAGTCCTTTGATACCGCCCATCTTTTTTACCATCTGTGCAAATTTGGTATATTGTGTCAAAAGTTCTTGAACATCTCTTGTTGACACACCTGATCCTCTTGCTACCCTTTGGATTCTTCCTGGTTGCTTACTAAAAACCTTGGCACCATCAGTACTATCAAGTTCTGTGAACAAAGGTCAATTACTCTCAATTACTACAATGAACATTTATCATTCAAAGCAATTGTGTGCAAATTTCTATTTACCCACAGAAAACCAAATATAATAGTTACATGTACTACCAGATTTAACAAATGTTATTATTTGCCATGTATGCATCTGATTTTTAAAAATTAAACTTTAGGGTCCTCCCTAAAGGTGGCGCAGCGGGTTAAAGCACAGTACAAAGAAGCTTAAACCACTTCCGCATGAGTTTGATCCCTGCCTGCCCCGGAAGAGATACACATGGCGCGGCAGACCTTTCCTGACCCGCCCGCTGCTCCCCTCAGCAGTGTACTTCGTGGATCTGCCTGTTCTGCTCCCCACTCTGTCTCTGGTGAAGCCTCTCACCGCCCCTGAGCCTCTGGCCTGTACCCCAGTTCTGTATGAATAAATAAATCCTTTAAATAAATAAACAAATAAACAAACAAACAAACAAACAAATAAATAAATAAAAATAAACTTTAATCCTTTCTGTAACATACAGAATTCCCTCCAGTAGAATACGAAAAGCCCTTCTTCTGACTTTAGTTTTATACAATCTCACCAATACTTTAGTAAAAATGTTTATTACATCTGCATTCTCTCTACAATATGCCTCAATCAGTGGTCATCTTGGTGCCACCTCAATATCTCCAGGAGAGAGGACCCATTTGATCTAAAGTAAAGAAATCTACGTCATTCTATTATATCAGTAATTATAAAAAATCTTTTCACATACTGAAATGAAGTATGTTTTCCTGGTACTGCTTCTACTCACATAAATGCATCCTTGTCAGCACAAAGAGTAAGACTTTCAAATGTTTAAGAACTGTCATGTCTCCTGCAAATTTTCTCAGGTAACTAATATTCAACTCTTTTGACTCTTCCTCTTATGTATGGTTTAGAACTCCGTTAATCATCATGATTTCCTAACTATATCTTCTAATTAGTCTGTATCCTCTAATTATATTGTTCAGAAGTGAGCTGAAGTTTGAGTACCAATGCAACACAAAGAGCATAGTGCCTCAAAATAAATTAACAGTTAAAATCTCTAGACCCATTTCATGAGTGCAACTTTTATACCACATCTTTACTATAAAATATTTAGGAAATTGGGGCCCTCCCTGGTGGTGCAGCAGGTTAAAGCACAGCACTGCAAGCGAGCCGCAGCAGCTTCATGCCAGTTTGATCCCCAGTGCCAGAGGTGATCCACATGGTGCAGCAGAACACTCCTGACCCACATCCTGCTGCTCCCCTCAGCAGTGTTTTTCATCCATCTGCCTGTTTTGCTCCCCACTCTGTCTCTGGTGAATCCTCTCATCACCCCTGGCCCTCTGGCCTGTACCCCAGTTCTGTGTGCATAAATAGATATATCTTAAAAAAGAGAGAGAGAAAAAAATATTTAGGAAATTGGACCTCCCTGGTGGCTTTAGGGTTAAGTCTCAGCACTACCATGGAAAAGGCCTAAGTTCAATCCCAGGGAGCTAACGCACATGACTCAGCAGACCTCTTCCATCTGGCCTACTGCTCCCCTCAGCAGTGTATTTCAGTAAATCTTTCCTGTTATGCTCCCTGTTTTGTCTCTGGTGAATCTTCGCCCCTACCCCCAACCCCTGTACCTCTGGCCTACACCCCAGTTCTTCTACACAAAAATAAAATATTAAAACAAATTTTAGGAAATATGTATCAGATTCTTCCAAGAGCTGAAACGGAGTGAGAAAAAGAAAATCAATTAATGACAGCACGTCATGGTAAACAACATGACAGCATTAAGAAACAGCAGAAGAAGGCATAATTTAAAGAAGATAGTCAGGAGGTCTCATGCTGGAGATTTTTCTTAATCAAATATTCATGAAGGACAAGAGAAAGTAGGGCCCTCCCTGGTGGCACAATGTATTATAGCACAGCACTGCAAAGCTGGCCACAGCCACTTCGGTATAAGTTCGATCCCTAGACAGGGAGGTAACCCATCTGGCATGGCAGGTCTCTCCTAACCCCCACTGCTCCCCTCAGCAGTATACTTCATCAGTCTGCCTGTTCTTCTCCCTACTCTGTCTCTGGTGAATCCTCTCACCACCCCTGCACCTCGGGCCTATACCCCAGTTCTGTATGTGTACATAAAGAAATCTTTAAAAAAAAAAGAGAGAGAGAGAAAGGAGTCAGTATAACATGGGTTCCAAGAATAAATGGAAATAGGTTTGTGTGGAAGGAACCAAGGAAGGTTAAAAGCTGAGAGAGATAAGAGGTTGCAAAAGTAGGTAAGGACAAGACTATATCAGAATTTGCTTGCTAGGATTAGAAGTTTGGGATTCATCATGAAAACAGTAAAGGGTAATAATATAATGGAAACCAAGGGGAAAAGGTGATCAACAATAGCCAATGTTGTAAAGGGCAAAGAAAAAAACTAAAAATTCTCCATTGGAGGAGGCTAGTAGGTTACTGGAAATTTTTGTAAGCTCTATCTCAGAGTAATGGTAGAGAAAAAAGTTAATTTCAGTAGTTTGCAAAGAATACTAGTCTTTTAAGAAGCTGGACTGGGGCTCTCCCTGGTGGCACAAGAGGTTAAGTACACCACTGTGGAGCTATCCACAGCCACTGCAGCATAGGTTCAATCCCTGCTAGGGTGGTGACCCACATGGTGTAGCAGACCTTCTGACCTACCCGCTGCTCTCCTCAGCAGTGTATTTCGAGCTGTCTGCCTATTCCCCACTCTGTCTCTAGTGAATCCTCTCACCCCCCACCCCAAACCTCTGGCCTGTAGTCTAGTTTTTGTATGCATAAATAAGCAAATCTTAGGGGAAAAAACACTTTGTTTTAAAAAAAAAGGTGGACTGAAAAGAGATGAGGAGTAAAATCATGAGGGAGAGATGCCCAGAAAGTATGAACTTGTGAATGTTTGTATCTGTATGCAGCAAGGGAGAATGGAGTGAGGAGTCAGTAGATAAGGATAGATTGAAAATAAAACATTTTATTGATGAATAAACATTGTTTAAAAAGTTTTATGTGTGGTTTGTGGCTGTCATAACCTTATAAGTAAGCTAGCCAAAGGTTTAGGAAATTCAATGACAAAAATCTGTATATGAGGTGAAGTAGCAATGTAAAAGAGCTGAAAATGGGTGATAAATGTTTGACATTATCTGCTGGGTGGGATAAGAAGGGGGCTAAATAACTGGAGAAAACATGAAGGAGCCAGAGTGTAGAAATGCTAATGGGCTGAAGACCAGACAAAGGACCTGGAAATTTAGGACACATGATGATACAGGAATATAGAGAAAGAGCAATATACCGCTGAGAAGATGGGAAGTGTAAGAGCTCAGACAAAATAAGTTGGTGAACATTGCTTAAACTATTCTGTATTCTCTTACAGAATCATATTGATGCATTAAGGATTTGAGAAGACTTTAAACCTACAAGCTTTTTTAACCCCAAATCCCTCACATTTATGTGATCACAGAATACCCCTGTTAAGTTATTTCTATGAACATCATGAAGAACTAGTTTTTTTTCTATGAAATACACCGAGAAGCACTATATTAGACATTTCTCTCAATGATAAATTCAACACAATAATCACAACCCTTTGACTAAGAGCTTCCAAGCAGCTACAAATCTACCTAACAATAACTTACAGTCTTAACTTTTCCCCCAGTTCTCCCACACATACACACACAAAAACAGTGAAACTCTAAATTTAGTGATATTCAGAACATTGTCTGAGTCAAGCAATGTGCCATCTTACCTTGATCATTCATACTATCCATTATGGTCATTAATTTCTTTAGCCTTGCCATTGACTCTTGTTCATTTCCTTTGCTCATAAAATCTGTCCCAAAACCAGGGATCATCCCCTGAAAATTTAAACATATTACTGATAATACTTTAAGATTAATTGTTCATATTGTTCAAATTTTAATTATTGGCTGAATTTTGACACTTCAGTCTTAAAATATTTATTTTTACCAAAATATTTTTTAAAATTAACTTTACTTACATGTGGTAAACAGAGAAAAGAAACAGATGAACTAAATAAAACAAAATTAGGAAAGGAGGAAGAGGTAGGTAAATCAGGAAAAAGGTGACAGCATCATGGTGAAGAACAGATTTGGACTTTTTTTTTTTAAAGAGCAAATACATATAATCTTTTTTTTTTTACAAAGTTTATTTTTACATCATTTTGCACATTTTTTTTTTCAGATTTGGACTTTTATCAGTGACCTTCATATAGCAGATAAATATTACTGATTTTCCAAGATGAACATCTGAAACTTATATAATGTTATAGTGCAATATTATTTCAATTAAAAAAAAACTAAGCACAATGACTCTTAGAAATTCTAGTGAAAAACAAAAGAAGACAGAAACTTCAGGATTACTCACCAAGATCTGACTGAAGGGGCCCATTTTCATGATATTTTGAAATTGTTCATACATGTCTCGCAATGTAAACTGACCTGAAATATGACATAAATAATACGAGTATAAAGAGAAAGAACCTTTGCATTTATTTGCATTCATTAAACCAGTATGTCCTTAATCATGGGTTCATCCCGAAGCACACTTACAAAGTACCAGGTCAGTAAGTATTTGCTTAGCTGTTACTATGTGCAAGATCACAAGATGCATAGAATCAAGACATACAGATCCTTCCTAGAGAAACCTACATTTTATCACAGAAAAATGGGACAGATACAAAGTCATAAGATACCTGAAAACAAAACATAAACTATACTTACTAGCATGACTGAAATTAAAAAGCTTAGTAACACTAAAAGTTAAAGAGGATACAAGCAAAACTGTATTAGTAGTAAGAATGTAAAATGGCAAAACACTTCAGGTTACTTGGGATTTCTTAAATAGTTTATCTGCCCATCAACAATAAATGGACGGACTGTGGATGAAATCAGCAATAAAAAGAACAAGCTATAGGTAAGTATAACTACATGAATAAGAATTTAAAAAATATGCTGAAAGAAACCAGATGGAAGATAAAAACATTTTAGGATTCCAACGACAGTAGGTATTTATTGGAAAGGAGAATAAGCAAACTTTCCAAAGTAATAAAAATTTTATAATTCCTCTGCACTAGTCAAAGTCATGGAATGATAGGTTTAGAAACTGAGTACTTCATTACAGATAAATTAACTTCAATTAAATGAAAAAAAAAAAAAGAAGAGGAATAAAACAAAGGATGAAGTATTTTCTATTTGTATCCTAAAGAAAAGGTATTTGGTTTTAGACATTCTTAATTAAGTATCAGTAAAATATTTTAATAGACATGCAGAATTAAACACCAGAAAAGGTTAAGCCGAAATACATATTTAGTCACTGCACTAAAGTGATAAAGCTATAATACAGAAAATACACAACTATGGAACCCAAGTGAAGACTGAAAATGAAAAAGGCAGGTAACACTGGTAAATACTGAAAACCAAAGGAAAAGGTAGCAACATTTGGGAATTAGAAGGCCCATGGTGACCTTAGAAAGTAATGTGAGCGGAAGAAGCAGAATGCAGAGATACAGGGGGAAGATACAGGAGTCAGTAATTAGACTTACTAGGAAAACAATGCTCAGTTTAGTGTAGTAGTGGAATCAGTTCTAAGGATATTCAAAATTAAAGAAAGATGGAAAAAAAAACTAGGCAATGGAGGATTGATTCATTAACAACAAATATTTACTAGAGAATTGCTAAGTACATGAAGCACTGTGAACATAAAAGATGAAGAGCACAGCTATGAACCTCACCTTCATCTCTGAGGAGGGGAGACAACAAGTATTTGTAAATAATACAACTACAGGATACAATGGAAACATATGGTAGAAGGTTCTATAGCCTAGGTATCACGTAAAATGTGCCTGAAGATTAAAAATTAAAGAGAAACCTGGTATATGACTAGGATTAGCTAGTTTAGCTGGAAAAAGGATGGTACAAACAAGAGAAAATATCCATCTAACAGGGACAAACCTAAAAAGGGCAAAGAATCAGAAATGAGACACAGAAATGTACATTTGAGAAACTGAAAGTGGTCTAGCATGACTGACACATAGAATGTTTAAAAAAGGGGGGAAAAACAGAAACAAACTGCTGAAACAAGACACAGCAGATGTGAGTTACATGGCAGGGTTATTTAAAAAAATTCTAAGGGTTAACGGGATGTCACTGAAGTATTTTTTAAAAAAGTTTTATTTATTTATTTATGCATACAAGAACTGGGGTACAGGCCAGAGATGTTGGGGGGGGGACAGTGAGAAAACTCACCAGAGACAGAGTGGGGAGCAGAACAGGCAGATCAACTGAAATACACTCCTGAGAGGAGCAGAAGGCGAGACAAGAGAGGTCTGCCATGCCATGTAGGTAAGCCCCCTGGCCAGAGATTAAACTGGTACTGCAGTGGCTGATAATAAGCTTTGTAGTACTAAGAATTAACCCATTGTGCCACCAGGGAGGCCCACCACTGAAATACTTTTTATATTTCAAGATTTATTTATTGATGCTTACAGAACCAAGGTACAGGCCAGAGGTGTGATGGGTGAGAGGATTCACCAGAGACAGAGTGGGATCAGAACAGGCAAATCTACTAAAATACAATGCTGAGGGGACCAGCGGGTGGGTCAGGAGGGGTCTGCACACCATGTGGGCAGCTCTTTGGCCAGGAATTGAACTCATGCTGCAGGGGTTTTGGAGAGATTCATAATGTGGTGCTTTAACCCATCACACCACCAGAGAGAGGCCTGAAGTATTTTTAAAAAGGTATTAATGGGGTCAGTTTGTCAGTTGTGAAAGATTTTGGCTATACTATATAAAATAGATCCAACGGAAAGAGTCCAAGGAGCAGATCCCATTAAAATACAAGAAACAGGCCCGCCCTGGTGGCGCAGCGGGTTAAAGCACAGCACTGAGAAGCTAAAGCCACTTCTGCATGGGTTCGATTCCCGCCTGCCCCAGAGGTGACCTCATAGCAGGGCAGAACTCTCCCGACCCGCCCACTGCTCCCCTCAGCAGTGTACTTAGTCGATCTGCCTGTTCTGCTCCCCACTCTGTCCCTGGTGAATTCTCTCACTCTCTGCATCTCTGGCTTGTACTCCAGTTCTGTATGAATAAATAAATAAATCTTTAAAAAAAAAAAAAAGACAAGAAACAATTTAGGGCAAGAGAAGAACTTATGTAATAAAGGGAAGTTGAAGAAAAGGAGATGGACTGGACATTTAGAAGGTAGAATAGTTAGAATTGATTGATTGAAAAGGTGTGGGTAGGCTGGGAAAGAGCTAGGAGTTGTTAATACCCAGGTATCTAATTCTGGCAGTAAGAGAAATGATGTTAACATTCATTAATGATAACAACAGGATGGGAGATTAAGATAAGAAGATAATAAGAATGTGTTGAATTTGAGATGTCTATGTAATATACAAGAATGGTCTAACAAACATGGATACATGTGTCTGAAGTGCCACAGAAAGAAGATGGCCTGGAATAACCCCTGGGAAACAGCATTTAAGAGAGGTATCTGATGAGATGAATAAGAAGGAGAAAAGAGAAAGAGAAGAAAGATGCCACAGAAATTAAGAGATAAAATAATTTTGAGAAAAACCAGAAATAATATAGACTGAGTGCTTATGTACTGGGCATATTATGTAAACTAGTTACTTTAACCTTCAGAATTCTGTGAATATGGTCCTTCTTACAAATAAGGAAATCAAGGTTAAGTAATTTGAAAAACTGGGGCTAAGAAATTTCAAAAAGTTACATAGCTAAAAATAGATAAGATACAATTCAGGTATGTTATATTTAAGAATCCAAACTCTTAACCACAATGACATCTCTCTAGCAATGATCTTTACTATGTGACTATTTGCAGTGTATTTAATCTCATCCTCTAAAAGTATTTTATTATATAAATTATTTTATACATAATATACAGACATTCATAAAATTTATAAGTTCAAAGGCTAGAAGAACATGTTCTTAGTTTTAATCATTTTATGTCAAAAAAAACGTATTTTAACCTTAAGATAATTTGATTAGAAAAAAGAAAGATTCTAGACTCTGTGACTGTTCAGATGTCTGAGATTTTAAACAATTTGTATATATAACCTAAAATAATAGACATCTGAAGAATTAACTTTATTAATTGATTTATATCAAAAAATAGTACCCTTATCAAAAATTCAAGGATAGAAATAATAAATCAAAGCAAAGACATCTGAGATTAAGTGCTTTTTTGCCACATTTATACCATGTTTCAACTTTTCTATAAGTGCTTCATTGTCATCCAACTTCAACTCGTTGACTTTATCTATCAATCCTTCAATGTCACCCATACCTATAAAACCCAAAAAAGAAAAAGTTAAAAACTAAGTAAAATACCCTGCATTTTGTTTTACAATATAAAACAAAAAAATCAAAGCCCTGTGAGGTAGGCAAGTCAGGCATTCCTACTATATCGATGAGAAAAACAAAGCTATAGAGGTTAAATAACAAAGCAAGGACTCCAGACCCAAGTTTAATTCCAAAATCCATGCTCTATAACAATACCATCTGGAGATACTATGAATTTTACTGCCACTAACACAACCACCTATTTCTATATTGTGCTGCTTTAAAGCTTTTCCAAAAATCTTTCCATCTCTGAGTTCATTATACAACTGTGACCATAGGAAACATAACCATCATTCTAATCCAATTTCTTGAAGATTATTCTAAATCATCACCACAATACATACCAAGAAGTTTGCTGATGAAAGGTTGTGTTTTGAAAGGCTCAAAGTCATCTATATGTTCCCCTGTGCCAATGAAAATAATTGGACTTTTTGTGGCAGCAACTCTATAATAAAAATAAAACATAATGTCAAAAAGGAAAACAAGTTCCCAGCAGATTCAACGTTAATTAGATGAAAGTATACAACTCTTTCCTCTAATTAAAATAGCCCTACATGGGGCCCTCCCTGGTGGCACAGCGGGTTAAAGCACTACACTAAGAAGCTAAAGCCACTTCCACATGAGTTCCATCTCCGCCTGCCCCAGAGGTGATCCACATGGCATGGCAGACCTCTCCTGACCCGCCCGCTGCTCCCCTCAGCAGTGTACTTCGTAGATCTGCCTGTTCTGCTCCCCACTCTGTCTCTGGTGAATCCTCTCACTGCCCCTGCACCTCTGGCCTGTACCCAGTTCTGTATCCATAAATAAATAAATCTTAAAAATAAATAAATAAATAAAAATTAAAAAAAAAATAAAATGGCCCTCCATCAGAGAGGATCCAAAATACTTTTTCTATAACAACTTCTCTTATGGAGCATATTAGGCAACTATTGGAATATGTTATAAAAGCTCTTTCTTATAAAATATCAACAAGAATGTTAAACATGGACAAAATCAAGGTACAGGACAATCATATTAGTGATACTTACGCACTAAGTGCACCACCTCCTTTTGCATGGCCATCAAGTTTTGTCACTATTACTGAGGCTACATCTACTTTATCTTTAAAAGCTTTAGCCTGGGCTTCACAAGCCTGCCCAATTGAGGCATCCATCACATAAACAATGTTATCAGGTTGCTAGAAAATTTAAATAGAAAAGATACATATTTTCATTGATTGTGGCAAACATCACCATTGGAAGATTAAAATAGAAACATATCTATAAATTGCTTCTTCTTCCCAAATTTTCATCACAATTTTAAAAAGACAATAAATGATGATTAATATTTTTAAGGACTTCATTTTTACAATCTTTCAACATTTATCTAAAATATTTTCAACTTAAATAATTTACAGAAAGAAATCCAACAATATTAAAGCTTCATTTTTACTATTTTTTTTTTCTTATATATACTAATAGAATGAGAAAGGAAATATTTTTGATACTTACTCATAAAAATTCATATTTAACATAGAGAAGATTAAGTCCTCATTATACAGATATAGGTGCCCAAAATAGAAATAATATATTTAAAATATGTTTTATAGGCAAAAAAAAATTTATATGGGCAGAATAAGAATAAATTTATATGGATCATAAATTTAATCAGCATTTGTAGTTAAATTAACCAAAGTCCTTATGTTTTTAAACTGAAAGCTAACTTACTATAGCATTAGCAACTTGAAGCATTTCTTCAAACAAGGAGTCTTCTTGTTTATGGCGGCCACTTGTATCAACAATAATAATTTCAAAATTTTCATTTTTGAATTTTTCCACTCCTTCAGAGGCAATGATAACAGGATCCATTTCTGTATAGCTATTTTACATGGACAAATGAGTTAGCAACAACAAAAACAGCAACATTTCCAAATACCAATAACTTGAAAATTTTAACTTTATTCTGAAAAACTCATAATGATCACAATTTTAATTTATAAGAATAAAATCAAATGAAAAATCTAACTTAGAAGCAGCACACAGTATCATTCAGTTTTCTAACCACAAAATCCTGTATGATTAGGCTGTATGTCTTTTCTAAATGTGGTGTTTCCCTCAAAAAAAATTTTTTTTATTTTATAACAGTTTATTTTACATCATTTTGTACATTTTTTTTTTCCATCTCAATTGTAATCCCTGTGGGTTTTCCATCACCAAGTCACCCGTGTGCCATCACCATAATCCCGTGCACTTCCCTCTCCACCCCACCCCCAGTTTTTGATTCCATTCCCCACTCCAATCCCACAAAATGTCTCTGGTATATGGCTGTTCATTATTGTTATTTTCTCGCCTGGTCCATTATACTCCTGCTATGAGTGAAACCATCTGGTATTTTTCTTTCTTTTTCTGGCTTATCTCACTAAGCATGATCTTTTCCAGCTCTATCCAAGTTGCTGCAAGTTGTGTTTCTCTTTTTTGGTTGCTGAGTAATATTCCATTGTATAAATGTACCACATCTTTTTTATCCAGTCATCTACTTTTGAGCATTTGGGCTGCTTCCATGTTTTTCCAATTGTAAATAAAGCAGCAATAAACATGGGGGTACAGGTATCTTTTTCAATCAGTGTTTTTGTGTCTTTTGGGTAGATAACTAGGAGTGGGATTGTTGGGTCATAGGAAGCTCCATGTTTAGCAGTTTTCCCTCAAAATTTTTTATATTCTTTTTAATAATTAAAATTAGGTTCCATGTTTCACACTTGTGTTTATATTTAACACTTTAGTAAGCATTTTATAAAACCATTAAATACTCTTATGAAGTATGACTATTCGGTTACACAGCATACCATCATGTTACTTACCAAATAAATCCCCTGTTTGGTCATTTAAGATTTTCCCTATTGCTTGGTATTAAATATATAGCCAATACAGAAAGTTCTTATTTATTTCTTTGAAACTATTTGGATCAAATGGTTTGAACACTTAGCCTTTTGTTTTTTAAAGTTTGATTTCATTACTATCTCACTGCATTTTCATAATATTCAAAAACATTTGTAAACTTGAAAGTCAAGCAATGAGATCATACTTTTTGATTAGTGGCAATGTTTTATACAAATAAATACTGTCAAGTGAAAGGACATACCATGTGAAAAATATTTCCCCCAAATTAACAACAAAAGCCAGGAATAAAATTAGTAAGAATATCATGAGGTTTAATTTAAAAATTGTTCTGCTTAAGGATATAAAAGTTTTTAACAAGAAGGCATAGCAGTTATCTAAATGACTACATGAATATAGTAAAAATATCAATTCTCCTCTAAACTAACTGATTTCAACATAATTCAAATCAAAATTCTAAGGAATATTTCTTTTTGAAACTTGATAAGGATTCTGAAACTTATACAGAAAAATAAGCAGATGAGAATAAGTTATTAAAAATGAAGATACTGATCTTCAATATGTTGGCAATTATAGAGATTTTCAATGTCGGCATTATGATAGAGATTTTTTACATATGATAAAGATACAATTAAAATAAAATTTACAAATGTACAAAAAACTGTGATCAAAGATATTCATAAAAGGGGACTGGCTTATTATGTACATTTACATAACGGAGTAGACAATGATGTCACCTAAGAAAGAATTACCCTAAACAGTATATAGTCAATTCCAAAATTATTAAGATATCTCTTTAACCAACTCTATAGATATATTTGCAATACAATTAAACACACTTTGTTAAGTGTTCACTTTGACGAGTTTTGACAAATTTAATGAGCCCATATAACCACAGCCACAGTATCAAGTTACAAAGCACTGTAAGATTCCATTCTAATTTAAAACAGTTCATATAAACTGTTCATTTGTATCTGTGTTCATTTGTATAGACATTGAGAATTGTACAAATGAATATACTAAAAACCGGTAATAGGGCAGTAAAATTATTAATGCTTCCCCTTTATCTTTAGAATTTTTAATTATATAAAATTACATTTATAAAATGATCTTTAAAATACAGGGCATATGAAAATATAATAAATCCCTGTATGTGCCAACCCAAATAAATGAAGATATTAACATGTATTCCAGATTTGTAAATTTAACTCTGGAGATATTGGTAGGCCCTCACCTGTCCCATTCCTTTTTCAGAGTAATAACAACCACTAATACTTGAGTTCAAATAGAGGATGTTTTTAAATTTGCGTGTACAAAGGAGAAGTATTAAGACTGATAAAATTTAATGGTCTGGATGGCATATCACTGCAAATTGTTCATCTTAAAGGTACATTATTTCTTGATTATTTAAACTTTTATTAAAAGTAGTTCTTATCCAAAAATAAAATTCCTAGCTTGGACAGTCATATGCAAATAAATGAAACTAGATCATCATTTAAGTCCACACACAAAATATAATTTAAAATGGATTAAAAATGGATTTAACCTGGTGGCACAACAGGTTAAAGAGCAGCACTGAGAAGCTAGCAGCAACCACTTCAACATGCGTTCCATCCCCAGCCACGGAGGTGGCAGACCTCTCCTGCCTCACCCACTGCTCTCCTTAGCAGTGTACTTTGTCATTCTGCCTGTTCTGCTCCCTACTATGTTGCTAGTGAATCCTTTCACCACTACCTCTGGCCCATATCCCAGTTCTGTATGCATAAATAAGTAAACCTTTTTAAAAAGTGGATTAAAAACTTTTAAGACCTGGCCCTCCCTGGTGGCGCAGCGGGTTAAAGCACAGCACTGAGAAGCTAAAGCCACATCCGTATGAGTTTGATTCCCGCCTGCCTCAGAGGTGACCACATGGCGTGGCAGACCTCTCCTGACCCGCCTGCTGCTCCCCTCAGCAGTGTACTTCGTCTATCTGCCTGTTCTGCTCCCCACTCTGTCTCTGGTGAATCCTCTCGCCACCCCTGAGTCTCTGGCCTGTACCCCAGTTCTGTATGCACAAATAAATAAATCTTTAAAAAAAAAAAAAACTTGTAAGACCTGAAACCATAAAATATATTTTCAAAAATATAAATGATAGACTCCTGGAGGTTAATTCAAAGACATATTTGGAGACTCAACACCAAAATGAAAGGAAAATAAATGCAAAATTAAACAAATGAACTATGTATCAAGCAAAAATGCTTTTGCACCTTAAAAGAAACTATCACAAAAACATAAAGGCAAACTTGGTAAGCACTGGGAGAAGATATTTTGCACATCACATGTGCAATAAGCGGTTAATTTCTAAAATATAAAGAGAACTCATACAACTCAACAACAACAAAAAATTAAACAACCCAATCAGAAAATGGGCTAACGACCTAAACAGCTATTGTTCTAACAACACATAGTGATGGCCTACAGGCACATGAAGAAATACTCAGTATCACTTATTATAAGGGAAATGCAAAAACAAAGCCGCAACGAAACATCACCTCAGCCCTGTAAGAATGACCTATATCAAAAAGAATGGAAACAACAGAAATTGGTAAAGGTGTGAAGAGAAAGGAACATTCACCTACTGTTGATGGAATGATGCATCATAGAAAGTAGCATGGAGATTCTGCTAACAAGTAAAAATGGAAATACCATTTGACCCTGCAATACTACCTCTAGAGATATACCCCCAAGTATACATGCCTCATCAAATAAACAATACGAATTAAGAAGAAGAAGGACGAAAGAAGGAAGACAGAATAAATATAGGTAGTTATAGAATAAATGATGTACATTCTGATTTATCAGGCTTGATGAGAAGAGTAATGTTATGGTAATAAAAGATAACAATTTGTTAATTACACCCCCACTTTGTTACAGAAAAGGTAAAAGATTTTTTAATGCCATCTGGCTGCATTTTAATAACGTGAGGCAGGTAAGATAAGGCACATGAGTATCAAAATAAAAACCAGAAACTCACCTTCCATAGAATGGAATTCTTGCTTTGGTAGCATTCTGCTTTAGTTGGTCAAAAGCTCCTACAACATAAAAAAATTCATGAATCCTCAAACTTGAAAATTAAAACTACAGAAAACAATTTTCAAGTTTCAATACATACCTGCTCTAAATGTGTCTGCACATATCAAACAGGTCTTCCATCCTTTCCTCTGGTAATAATATGCTAGCTGAGAAAGAAAAGTTAAACATATTATCAATAAATACAAATAATTAAACCTGTAATTTTTCTGCTTACTGTTATTTACTTAAGAAGCAAAAAATGCTCAAAGGTTAAACATATATCAATAAATACAAATAATTAAACATGTAATTTTTCTGCTTACTATTATTTACTTAAGAAGCAAAAAATACTCAAAGGTTAAACATATATCAATAAATACAAATAATTAAACATGTAATTTTTCAGCTTACTATTATTTACTTAAGAAGCAAAACTGCTCATTCTTCTAAATTTTTATTAAACTTTTTAATAGTGAATTTCCTAAACAGTTTAAATTGTCATATTCAATGAATATAAAATGATCAAACAAGTGACTAAAAAGTGTTAACTACTATTGTTAATAAAGTAAAAACAAGTAATAACATAACAGTCTAAAAAATAATTCTTTCCCTCCCCAAACTATAACACAGTTGAGTCTTCTGAAACAAAATCTAGCAATCAATTCTAGAAGGGTAACATAACAAATTAAAGTTTAGGATATGCAAAACAAAGATGCAAGCATACCTCAGAGACACTGTGAATTCAGTGTTAGATGACCATAATAAAGCTCAATAAAGTCAGATTAATTTTTTTTTTTTTTGTTTTCCAGCAGACAGAGAAGTTATCTTTACAACCTTTTAGGTGTGAAATAGCATTATGTCTAAAAATACAATGTACATACCTTAATTAAAAAAACACTTTACTACTAAAAATGCTAACCATCACCTGAGCCTTCAATGAGTTGTAATCCTTTTGCCACACATGCACAATTTGTAAAGAATTATCTTCAAAGCACAATAAAGCAAAGTGCAATAAAATGAGGTATGCTGATTTAGAATACTCTGAAAAGGAAGTCTTGCTTCAAAGTAGATATAGATGAATTTTCCATATTTTCTTCTTCAAAATCTCATACTCACTTCCTTAAAGGACAGGATCAATTTCAATGCCAAAAGAAATAGTATAGTTCTAGGAAGTCTACCATTCTCATTAAAAGCAATCAAAGATAAGATGCTTATCTTTGATGAGATGCTTTTTATCCTATACAAACCTATAAAACAAACATTCTAAAAAGTCTGGCTTTAACATAAAATTTGACTTATATAAACATCTTTTCCATAACTTTTAAAAAATTAAGTGTAACTTACCTTTGAACATGTAGTTGTTTTACCACTCCCTTGCAATCCAACAAACATAATCACATTCTGTTTTCCTTTAGTAGGTGTCCATGCTTTAACTCCAGGGTCTACAAGCTATATTCCAAGAATAAAATCAAGTAAGCATATACTTTCATTTAAAACCCCTCTCCTGACAATTTTTAAACTGTAAAAATAATTTAAGGGCATTTTTGATATAAGAGTTACCCGCAATCTTACCATTCTAACATGACTCTACAATTTCCCTTTGTAGACACATACTGAAATTTAAGAATCTAAAATAATGTACTGTGAAGCCATAAACAAACCTATTCTCTCAAACCAAATCAGAGGTAAGGATCTCAAAACAGTTTAGAAGCTGAGGTGTAAATAAAAAGTGATGCCAAATGTAAACCAAAGGAGCAATCTGTATCAACACTGCAGAAACAGAACATAAAATATACGTAAAGGACCAAAACCGAAGCTCAAAATATTTTAAAAAAGAGAAAAAAGCAAGTGATATTAACACAAGAAAAATCTCAGAATAAGGTCAGGACAGGACTCAAAGACAAAATTTTGCTGTTCCCAAAGGTTGGTAAACCAGAAGTTAAAGTTGAAGACTATAGGCCTAGATACCTGCTGTCATCAATTTCCTTGGTTCCTTGTTTTTATTATAGTTCTTCTAGCCTAGGTATTCCTGAGCTACCTCTTTATAGCTTATCAAGTTGACCACTATGGAAGAGTCAGAGACGTGAGACAAGACTAGTGCTGTGAGCACACAGTCTCCATGAAAGGCTCACCTTGGTCACAAGACCTGAATGACCACCTTGCTACAGCTGAATGGTGGTGAGCACCATGTTTGTGGAAACAGCAACACTAAATGAAGGTAAGCTAAACCCACTCTACTTGCTTTCTCAGAGAGTAAAATTCAATTCCTTTTTTCTTCGACCCCAGTCCTAAAACAAGGACCCCAGCACCTCAGAGTGTTTATCATGCCCAGAGAGGTCTCTCAAGAGTGCTCTTTCTTGCTTTTGCTGATCAGTAAGTGCTCTCACTGCTACCTATTCAGTACTTTTTTCAGTATTGACCAGAAAGGTATCAAGAGTCCTTTCCTGGAGGCAGCAAGGCCATTTGGTCTGTCCCTCTACTTTCCAATGGATCCAGCAGTGCTTTGCTCCCAGCTTCTCCAATGGTGTTGCTGGAAAGTGGTAGGGGCTTGAGGGACCTCTGTATCCTCTCCCTTGTGTGGTGACTATATTAATTTAATACTTTACTTACCTGATATATCCAAAATGTTATTATCATGACATGTAATATTTATTTTAAAATTAAATACTTTATATTCTTTTTCCCCATACTAGGTCTCCAAATTTGGCACATATTTCATGTTTACAGCACATCTCAATTTGACATAGACATATGTTGAGTACTCAATAACCGTATGTGGTGAATGGTTACCATATACCATAAAAATAGGGTAGCACCTATTTCTATGTTTAATTCAATACATTTATAAATTACAAATTACATGTGGAAGATTTTCCAAGTAATTCAAATGTTAAATTATCCAATTTCAACCACTGGTTGCTCTATAAAGTTCTCTACTTAGGGGCTAGTAGAAAATAAAGACCACTTTCATAATGGCAAATGGGAAATTAGGGTATATTTAAATTAATAAGCATGCTGCTTTTTGAAAGTTCATTTTAAAAAAATTCATTAGTCAGTAAGTTGTTTAGAGTTTGAAACATGTAAATGAGTAAATCCTCATTTAGTGTCAAAGATAGGTTCTTAGAAATTATTTTTTTAAGGGAAGGACTTTAAGTGAAGTATGTAAGTAAAGCATATCCTTAAGTATCATTATTTCATTTAATGTAGGTTGGGGTTGTTTTTTTCTCATCAATGTTACAAAGAATGACTTTGAACTAAACATTTAAAGACCAGTTGTTTCTCCATATGACAATAAGGCCATAATAGTTGTTAATATCTTAGATCAGAGTCTAGCAAATTATGTATAAAGTTTTAATGAAACACAACCACACTATTCACTTACTGCTTTTTTGCTATAGCAGCAGAACTGAATTGTTGCAACAAAAACCAAACGATCTGCCCAAAAACCTAAACTATACAGTTTAAGAAGTAGCTTGCTGAGTCCATGCTAGATGACATCATGAAACCCTTATAATACACAAAAGACCTGATTTTAAGTACAGGAATGTGGCAGAGAAGAGAGAAAAGAAAACAAATTTTGTTATCTTTTCCCCACACACAGGCCTTATGAAATACACAAAATCAATTTCCTGAATCCTGTTAGGAAACTGATTTTACCTTACATTCACCTCTATTTCCCTTTATCTGAGGACTGAACCTTTACAAACCTACTATGTGGAACATAGATGCTTTGCTGAAAAATGATTTTATAAATTCATTTTTTTTTGCAGTATCCATCATGTACCATAGAACAGTAGTGCTGATCTTTGTAGTCTCTGGACTCCTTTATAATCATCATAAATATAGTAAATATACATTATCACTGTTCTTTTGTGTAAAAATGGTATTTTATGAAAGAAGAAGCTGGGTCAGCTTTCCTCAAGACAAACATCAAATTTCTTTTTTTTTTTAACTTTTATATATATATATACACATACGTGTGTGTGTATATATGTGTGTGTGTGTGTGTGTGTGTGTATATATATAATAGTTTATTTTTACACATTTTGTGAATTTTTCCATCTCATTTGCAATCCCCTTGGGTTTCCCATCACCAAATCACCCATGTGCCATCACCACAGTCCGGTGCATTTTCCTCTCCTTGCTGTTTCTGATCCCATTCCCCACTCCACCCCCGTAAAATGTCTCTGGTATATAGCTGTTTATCATTATCATCATTTTCTTGCCTGTTCTGTTATATTCCTGCTATGAGAGAAACCACCCGGTATTTTTTCTTTTCTTTCTGGCTTATTTCACTAAGCATGATCTTTTCCAGCTCCATACATGTTGCTGTAAAAGACATGTGTTTCTCTTTTTTGGTTACTGAGTAATATTCCATTATGCATATGTACCACATCTTTTTAATCCAGTCATCTACTTTTGGGCCTTTGGGCTGTTTCCGTGTCTTTCCAATCGTGAATAAAGCAGCAGTAAACATGGGGGTGCAGGTATCTATCTGAATCAGTGTTTTTGTGTCTTTTGGGTAGATACCTAGGAGTGGGATTGCTGGGTCATAGGGAAGCTCCATGTTTAGCAGTTTGAGGAACCTCCAAACAGTTTTCCACAGTGGTTGTACTAGTTTGCATTCCCACCAGCAGTGCAGGAGAGTTCCTTTTTCTCTACATCCTCACCAACATTTGTTGTTGCTAGTTGTCTGAAGATGTGCCATTTTCACTGGGGTGAGGTGGTAGGTATCTCATTGTGGTTTTAATTTGCCTCTCCCTTATTACAAGTGACAAACATGAAATTTCTTTATTCAGCAAAAAAGGTTTCTTCCTATCTCATCTCAGAAAATCTTATAGAATGACCCAGCAATCCCACTCCTAGGCTATCTACCCAAAAGACATAAAAACACTGAATCAAAAAACACCTGCTCCCCCATGTTTATTGCTGCTTTATTCACAATTGGAACGACACAGAAACAACCCAAAGGCCCAAAAGTAAATGACTGGATTAAAAAGATGTGGTACATATACACAATGGAATATTACTCAGCAACCAAAAGAAATAAACACATGCCTTTTGCAGCAACATGGATGAAGCTGGAAAAGATTATGCTTAGTGAAATAAGCCAGAAAGAAAAGGAAAAATACCAATGGTTTCACTCATAGCAGGACTATAAAGGACTAGGGGAGAAAATAATAATAATGAAGAACTATATACCAGAGACATTTTGTGCAGGTGGAATGGGGAATGGGATTAAAAATGGAGGAAGGGAAGTGCACTGGACTATGGTGATGGCACACAGGTGATTTGCTGATGGGATAACAACTGAGATGGAAAAAGCCACAAAATGATATAAAAATTAACTATTATATCATTTTTTAAAAAATTTTATAGAAACCTAAAATTGGTCGCCTCTGCAGTGAGAGGTGACATAGCACTGGGTACCAGTGTGGGCCCACACATAGTTTTTATGAGAAAAATTTCCTGGACTGGTAAATCAAATTAATTAAGAGAACACTTTGGAACAGTTTGGCCATGGATGAAAGTGATCTCTTTTGACAGAGAGACTGGCTTTCACAGAGGTATGGGATGGATTCAGTTTTCTTCAGAAGACTAACTTCATAAGAACTACAACAGGAAAATCATGTTACAGATAGAGTAAAGCTCCATATTCAAGTTCAAAGAACAAAAGTTTTGCAGGAGATCAAACACATAATGAAGAGAAAGATTTCTACAACTATTAATTGCCTATTAAATAAAGCAAACAAAATGAATATATATATATGTGTATATATATATATATATATAAAATCTTATAGAACATGTATACTCAAGGGTCAAAATAGAGTACAACTGGTAATACTATTCTATCAAAGGCATTGAGGGAAAGTGGATATTTTTACAGTAAGTGTGTAGTAGTAATAAATACAGTAACTACTAACATTGTTTGGCCCCACTGCCTGCTTTCATGCTAGGGATGTTTACCCAATGGTTTTATCTACCACTGCTTTTTCGCTATTGGATTATTAATATAGTAAAGCGAGTGTTGAGGTAATTATTGTTTTAGTATTATTTTACTAAACTGCTCTAAAACATTTGCTTCTGAGTATGAGGGCTGGTCTTATTCATCTGTTATCAGCAGTATTTAGCTAAAATAAGGCAGATACCCAATAAAGGTTCCTTATAAAAAAAAATTGATGCTCCAGGATTGTCTACAGATGCCAACATCTACAAATAAAGATTTTTAATTCACCCTGTGCTAACTTTAAGCACCAAGTGAAAAGCAATCTGGAACTAGTAGTTCTATATAAAGAATTTAGATATAAAACTTGCAGTTGAAAAAAGTGAGATTGCTTTTTTCAACTACAATGTGAAGAAGTATGACTAGATAATTTCTCTGATACCTGGTATATCTATATATTTTTCAAATTAGTCTACAAGATAAAGCTAAAAACTATAGCCATCTGAGATACCAGAGTTCTTCAAAATACCAATCAACTCTGTATGGAACCAAAAGAGTAAATGAAACCATTCATACAATGTAGGGAAAAATACTAGATTATTGGTAAACAAGTGCTATTCTGAAGAAATAAATTTTTAGTACCTCTTTCCTTTTTCCTCCATTACCATTAGATTCATATATGCTTTTTAAAGCTCTACAATTTTCATTCATAGCTTTCATAACAGTAACAATAATATCAGATCTAAGGACAACAGACTGTAATTACTACTTACTAATAAAACACTAATTCAAAACTTTCAGAACCCAAGTAAAAGTTGGAATATTAGACCTTTTCTGAGAGGAAGATGTACACCATGAATAATACAGAAAAGAACACTTTACAAGAATAATCTTCTGGGATCTTTTGGTGGCACAAAGGGTTAAGCCTCAGCACTATCAATCTATCACCATCCACTGCAGCATGAGTTAGATCCCCAACCAGAGAGCTAACTCACATGGTGCACCAGAAATCTTGTCTGCCCATTACTCCCCTTAGCAGTATATTTCAGTCAATCTGCGTTTTCTGTTCCTCACTGTGTTTCTGGTAAATCTTCTCAACCCCCATACTGTTCGCACACCCCCCAGCATAAATAATTACTTTTTTAAAAAAATTATCTTCTGCATAAAAGTAGGACCTTCAATTAGCAATACTTGATATTAAGAGGATAAACTTAGAGTGGACCTTCTATTAATCTGTAATAAGGTTTTACTTTTTTGTAAAACTTAGCTTTCACCTTTTTTTGTAAGAAGAGTTGTACCTGTACTCAGAAATTTATATTCAGAAAAATCTATAGTAAAATCATTTAATTAATACCTCTGATATAGATGCTATTCTATGAAAACAAAGTGCTTTGAAAAAGTGTTCCTGTTTTTAATGTACTGAGCCATAGGAAATCATAAAATGTTTTATACACTTTTACCTTCACAAGTTCTTTAAATACAGCATGCTGAATCATTTTTCTTTTGTTTAGACCAGATGCCATCTCTTCCAGATCAATAGCAGACCTTCATGATAGTGGTATGGAGGGAGGAGGAAGAAAAGCCAGTTAAATACCCTTTGAAAAACAGCTTCAGCACCAAAATATGTAAGAATATTCAATATCAACAGTGTTTTATCTAACAGGAATATAATTACTACAGATGTGTAAGTCTATACCATAATAATTTATGAAATATTAGCATTAAGATTGGTTAGTTTTTCAAGGTTTTTTTTCCCCCACTCTAAACATTTGTCCTAATGATTTTATTTCTTTTTCTAGCAGCTTATATACTTTAAATATTGTTATACTATATCTCATATGAAATGCTTAAAGGCTGTTCTGTTATTACCCAGTTTGACAGTATAAAAAGGAGGGATAGCCTGAGCAAGACAAGGATTCAAGCAACTAACTGAGGTTCCTGTATTATTCTATACGCCCTGCCCTAGTCAGTGCCTCTCCCAATAAACACAAAAACTGAGACCACACACATCACTCCTTGAATCATTCAAGTATGAAAGGAGAAACAAAGGGGAGGGCAAAAAAGAATACAATTCTCCAATAATGAAGGATTCTGATTAATATCATCTTAACTTTGAAGAAGATAAAATGACACTGCTTTTCTATAAAGAATTTGAATTGTTAAGTTTTTCATACTAAAATACTACATAGTTTATGATTAAATCCATCCAAATAAAGGAGTAGTAAAATGGAAAGAAATCCATAACCAAATGAAAGCCACGTTTCCTTATTCTTTGAACTGTCATTATAGAACCATACATGCACTCTTTCAACATATGAATTTCATTCTTTTCCAGTGCTATATAGCAGAAATGTTTCATCATATAGCAGGCTTTTCTAGTTAGCTCAAGTCTACTAAATTCTGCTTGTTATTTACCTGATAGATTTTACTTACTTCACATTTTCTCTTAATTGCTTCACTAGTTTAATATTAACATCTGCTTCCAATAACGCTGTACATACTTCTTTTAGCATAGCATTTAATACCTGTGAATTGATAAATAAAATGTCCAGTGTATCATTTCAATCGCAGTAAAAAAAGGTGATCAGTCATTCTAAACTACTATAGCCTAATAAAAACAATCCTACACTATTGGGGAGACAATATTTTTCAGTTAATCTTAGAGAGAAAATCTTATTAAATGTCTAGCCATTCTGTTAAAACAAAACATTCCATTTAATTTTATCCAACAAATACAAATTACCGTAATTTTATTTCTATATTAAAGAAATAATGTAAAGACAATATAAAAAAACAAAGAAGTTTGCTATCAAAGTATTCTATGGCATCAACCAGCTCCTGTTGCTGATATATTAGCAGTTTAATTCATAATATCTACTTAACTGCACTACCATGAAGAAAATGTGACCAAAAGAGTGACCAAATCTGACCATAGAAGATTTACTTTTTCCACTGAGGTCAGAGGAACAAAGTTGTAAAGGAAACTATCTTCCATTAATAACTCACTATCATCAGGTATTTGTTGAGGTGCCAGACACTATGCTTAAAAGGTGACAAAACCATAGTCTTAAGGAAAGATGAGACCTTACAACTCACTAATTGTTTGTACATTAGGATGTAAGCTCCAGTAGGGCAGGACTTTAGTCTATTTTACTCATTGCTACATCTCTCCAGTGCCAGTAAAAGTATCTGCAAAAATTTAAGCCCTCAAATACTTCCTGAATTAATTTTCATCTTCAACTGTCTTCATAATTTTACAGAGGATTATCAGCTCTCTATCCATCACTAAAAGGGTCTCGTAAAAAATGAAGTGCTCTTGGCCCTCCCTGGTGGCGCAGCGGGTTAAAGCACAGTACTGAGAATCTGAAGCCACTTCCGCATGAGTTCGATTCCCGCCTGCAGCCTGCCCCGGAGGAGACCACATGGCGAGCCAGACCTCTCCTGACCCGCCCGCTGCTCCCCTCAGCAGTGTACTTCGTAGATCTGCCTGTTCTGCTCCCCACTCTGTCTCTGGTGAAGCCTCTCACCGCCCCTGAGCCTCTGGCCTGTACCCCAGTTCTGTATGCACAAATAAATAAATAAATCTTAAAAAAAAAAAAAAAATGAAGTGTTCTTTAGAGGGATTTCTCCTTGCTAATTGCTTAGCAGCACAGTATCAAGAACAGAGAAGCTGCCAATTCAACCAATGGTTACTTTTGCTTCCCACCAAATTCTTCTCCATGGTTTTTCTTTTCTCTACCACAAAGAGCATAAAAGTTATACAACAGGGAAAACTGTTTAGCAAACTGAGGTCCTATTTGTTCTAAATTCCAAAGAGTCAACAAAAGTTATGACTTATTGAAAATAATTATTTGGAAAAATCCTAGAGGAGGAACTAGAAAAACAATTCTAATCCTGGTTCTTCTAATAAACAAACACGTGAAACTGATTTTCTGCTGTTGTCAAATGAGAGGCTGGACTGAAGTTCAAAAATGATCCAGAAATTATTTAATTCCATTAGATTATTAGAGTGTTGATATTAAATTCAACAGTAGAATTTATTTTCGGACATCTAAGTTAGAAAGTATTTTTCATCTATCATTCATTTCCCTATTAAAGCCATCTTATAAAGTAAATGTCATCTTTTCATTGTATACATTAAGGAATCTAAAGATAACTTGGCCAAATTTATATCACAGTTACTAAGTGGAATGCTGGTAAACAAGGCCTTCCAAAACCAAAATTAAGTACATATCCATTGTACCACAAAATATAAAGTACACTTGTGGACTATAATCATCTTTTTTAACTGACAACCATTAAGGTACACTGTATGGTGAAAAATGAGAAAAGAAATAGTTTAATCCTAAAACAAGAGTTAAGAGGGAAAATATTTCAGATACCACATAAGGAATCAGTTTACAATATCTCAAAAAAAACTGCATAAGAATGTCACAGAAGGCCCTCCTTGGTGGCACAAGTGGTTAAAGCACAGCACTATGTAGCTATCCTCAGCCTAGACTACAGCTTGAGTTCAATCCCTGGCCAAGAGGGTGACCCACTTATGGCACACAGATTTCTCCTGTCTCGCCCACTGCTACCCTCAGCAGTGTATTTCAGTCAGCTTGCCTATTCTTTTCCCCTCTGTCTCTGGTGAATTCTCTCGCCCTCCACACCTCTGACCTGTACCTCAGTTCTTGTGTGCATAAATAAACCTTTTAAAAAAAAAATTTAACCTATACAAAGAAAACTACAAAACACTGTTGAAAGAAATACAAGACAATACCATGAAATAGAAAGACATTCCTGCTCATGGATCGGAAGAATTGACATCATCAAATGGCCATCATACCAAAAGTGATATACAGATTTAATGCCATCCCAACAAAAGTCTCAATGACATTCTTCAAAGAAATAGAAAAAACATTGATGAGATTCATATGGAACAACAAAATACCTCAAATAGCCAAAACTCTCATGACTAAAAAGAGAATGGAGGCATCACAATCCCAAACTTCAAGCTATACTACAAAGCCATAATAATCAAAACTGCATGGTACTGGAACAAGGACAGACACACAGACCAGTGGATTCAAATAGAAAACCCAGATATAAACCCAGAGGTTTATGAGCAGCTAATCTTTGACAAAGGAGCAAATAAGATACAATGGAACAAAGAAAGTTTGTTCAACAAATGGTGCTGGGAAAACTGGAAGCTACATGCAAAAAAATGAAGCTAGATCACTAACTCACACTGTATACAAAAATCAACTCGAAGTGGATTAAAGACCTAGACGTAAGAATGGAAACTATAAAATACTTGGAAGCAATTATGGGAGAAAAACTACATGACATACCCTACAATAACCTCTTTGAAGATACAGCACCCAATGTGCAATAATGAAGGAAAGGATAAATAGGTGGAACTACATCAAGTTGAAGAGATTCTATACAACAAAAGAGACATTACAAAAAAACAAAGAGACATCCGACTAATTGGGAAAAAATTTTCTCACACAAAACTAGCAAAAAAGGATTGATCATAAAGATATACAAAGAACTGATGAAACTCAACAAAAATAAACAACTCCATCAAAAAATGAGCAGAAAAACCAAAAAGACACTTCCCCAAAGAGAAAATGCAGACAGCCAACAAGCATATGAAAAAATGTTCAACATCACTCGTAATAAGAGAAAGGCAAATTAAAACCACAATGAGATACCTACCACCTCACCCCAGTGAAAATGGCACATCTTCAGACAACTAGCAACAACAAATGTTGGTGAGGATGTAGAGAAAAAGGAACTCTCCTGCACTGCTGGTGGGAATGCAAACTAGTACAACCACTGTGGAAAACTGTTTGGAGGTTCCTCAAACTGCTAAACATGGAGCTTCCCTATGACCCAGCAATCCCACTCCTAGGTATCTACCCAAAAGACACAAAAACACTGATTCAGATAGATACCTGCACCCCCATGTTTACTGCTGCTTTATTCACGATTGGAAAGACACGGAAACAGCCCAAAGGCCCAAAAGTAGATGACTGGATTAAAAAGATGTGGTACATATGCATAATGGAATATTACTCAGCAACCAAAAAAGAGAAACACATGTCTTTTACAGCAACATGGATGGAGCTGGAAAAGATCATGCTTAGTAAAATAAGCCAGAAAGAAAAGAAAAAATACCGGGTGGTTTCTCTCATAGCAGGAATATAACAGAACAGGCAAGAAAATGATGATAATGATAAACAGCTATATACCAGAGACATTTTATGGGGGTGGAGTGGGGAATGGGATCAAAAATGGTGCGGGGGATGGGCCCTCCCTGGTGGTGCAGCGGGTTAAAGCACTGCACTAAGAAACTAAAGCCACTCCCACATGAGTTCGATCCCCGCCTGCCCCGGAGGCTGTAGAGGCTACCACATGGCGAGGCAGACCTCTCCTGACCCGCCTGCTGCTCCCCTCAGCAGTGTGCTTCATTGATCTGCCTGTTCTGCTCCCCACTCTGCCTCTGGTGAATCCTCTCCCCCTCCGCATCTCTGGCCTGTACCCCAGTTCTGTACGAATAAAAATAAATCTTTAAAAAAAAAAAATGGTGCGAGTAGGGAAGTGCACAGGACTATGGTTGTGGCACACAGGTGATTTGGTGATGGGAAGTCCATGGGGATTACAACTGAGATGGAATAAGCCACAAAATTATGTAAAAATAAACTATTATATTATTTTTTTTAAAAAGAATTTAACAGAAAATGAATCAAAGTAGTCAAAGTGAAAACACTAGCCTTTTAAGAGAATGCTAAATAAAAGTCAAAGAGCAACAGTCAAGTATGCACATGTTTAGCCACTAAGAAGCAAGATATTGAAGTGTTAAGCCTCTATCAAGAGAGAAAGCAAAAGACTATTTCAAATCTTAGCTATTTTCACAAGTAAGATGTTTACCATCTGCACTTATGAAACTTTGACTTTTTTGTAATTCATTATAAGAAGTTCAAATGAATAGTAAAATAGTCTTCTCAATAAAAAAATGCTAGTTATACCTAATTTTTGGATTTTATTTACAGGTTTTAAATCTATATATTGAGATAAATATAAACATATAGATTACTAATAATCTATCTATAAACTCTCTAATGCTAGTGATGGTATGTAATCACGTTTCACATATATTACGTACCTCTTCATTGATGATTGTGGCATTGCTCAATGAGCGTAATGCTGATGTTATTTTTCTTCCAAGATCTGCTAGTACCATCTTGAAGGCTTTAAAACGTGATTACAAGAAAATCTAAGAAGGAAAAAAATTAAAGACATTAGAAACAATCAATACTAGCTTGCATAATTTAAGTGTTCTAAATAAAAGTATTTAAGTTCAGATTACAGTACTCTACTGTAACTTCTAACTCTATATCCTCAATTTGCAGGTTCTCAACAGGTCCAAAAGCCAAATCTGCTGCTTGGTTATGATGGCTTATGTTTGAACACCTAATTGGAATACACTGTATCCATCAGAAAATTTAACATGTCAGTTAGTATGCTTTAAGAAAATGATGACATGATCTCAAATCTTTTTTTACTTTGGACATACTTGTGAATATAAAAAACTGACTGATGTATCATGTACATTTTTAAATGAAAAGACTGAGAAAGGAAAAGATAAAATCTCTACTTGGAATACTGTCTAACTTACAACATTAAAAGACTTTGTAAACTATTTTGATTCAAACTCCAAAGCAAAAATATATATATGTTAATTACTAAATGACCTACCTTACACATTATTTAATTCTTCAAACAAGGAAAGAGATTTATTATTAACCTGCCTATTTAAAATTGTTTTTGATTCCCCAACTCTAGAAGAAGATAACCTCAGAAACACTTTACAGAGCTAAAATGTTATGGTTTTATAAATTATATAGATTACCTATTACACATAAGTTGGAATGCAAGAACTCGTGATTGGTAAGCAAGCAAATATGATTTTAGTCTCTGTCCTTGAGTTGCTTATATACTAGCTGTCAATAAGGGATACAAAAGAATAGCAAATAAATACTACAAGAGAAATCCTCCTGCCTAATTGCCTTCAAATTGAGACATTAGTTTATTCCTACCTCCAAACTCAAATGGGAACATCAGCTCCTCTGGGGTCTAAAGCTGCCAGTCTTTGGACAGGGACTATATATCATCACCCAACTTAGCTCTGTCATCACCAGCTTAGTATACCAGAGATTTCAGTTTACCAACTCACCTTATGAACCTTGTAACTTCTTAGGCTCCATGACCACTCCAGTCATTGCTTATAATAAAGTCTCTCTCTCTCTCTCTCTCTCTCTCTGTCTCTGTCTCTGTCTCTGTCTCACATACACACACATACGTGTACACACACACACACACACACACACACACACCTCACTCATTCACTCACTCACACCCTTTATTGGTTCTGTTTCTGTGGAAAACCCTGACTAATACCACTGCAAACTAGTTCAAAGGTAGCAATAAAATTTTATGGTTAACTGCCAATGGCTATTTCTGTGAAAATTTAAAGATTTAAAGGGGAAAAAAAAATCAAATGGACAAAATAAGCTTTATTCTGAAGGTTGAACATGAATCTGACTCAGAAATAAAGGTAGAATTTTGAACAGGCAGAGAAGACAAAAGAGCAGAAGCAGAAATGTAGACATGGAAAAGCCTAGAGGATATTTATGTTGTATATCTGCATTGCACTTCTAGATTATTGAGTATTATTTGGGGGACAGTAAAGAAAATATTCTGGTTGGAGCAGAAGTAGATACTGATTGCAAAGGACTCTAAAAAACCAAGTTAAGAAATATCAAATGTCCTGGAAGCAGCCCAAATGCCCAAAAGTAGATGACTGGATTAGAAAGATGTGGTACATATATACAATGGAATATTACTCAGCAACCAAAAAAGAGAA